ATTTATTTAAATTTTTAATATGCATGCATAAAGTATAGTACGTATAAATCATATGACCATACATTATTATTAGACCAATAGGACGAAAAATATAAAAGTAAATAGAGTGATTGTTGGATATCAAACTTTGTTAAATCCCAATTCCTGTATCTTAGATTATTCCATAATTGATAAATCCATCCACAATGATTTGGCATTTGTATCTCTTCTTCTATCCAGCTAATTTAACTAGTAATGAAAAAGTTGGGTAATATTCATGCACTCTTTTTATATGCAAAAATTAAGCATTCCACACCTTACTATTATTCAAGTATATATTGAATTAGAAGAGCTCAAAATAACTCCACTCATGGATGGTGTGAATCTTGGTACTTTAACACAATTTGGCAATTCTTAATGTAATATATTCACAAATCAATTAGACAAATTTATTGGCAAATTGATTGATTTAAGAAAATGAGTTTCAACCATTTTTCATCTATTCTCAAAGCTTGCCAACCTCTACAACGTGCAGGAATAAGAAGGGGAGATGCTATTGTGAGTGCCAACTTCCCCATAAAACATATTTATATAGACCTTGAGGGTGATATATATAACTTCCAGGATTGTTCCTATTAAAAAAAAACCAAATAAAGGAACGTCAGTAACGTTTACTAACGTTCCCATAATAGAAAAAATGCCGACCACTACCATTCCATTAGTGGTTCGTATCTACAAGCGCCTCCAAAATGTAAAGATATTATTGTCATAACTACAAATACCTTATTTTCCAGAGTTTTAACCCGTCTCAAGTCTCAACTTCTCATTTCAGAGTTCCAGACCAAAATTCAAGTCCAGGAACCGTTCCCTAAAGTAAAAAACGAAAAGGAATGTTAGTAACGTTCTGGAAGTATTATGGGTTATAGAAAAACAACAAATACTTTATTTTCCAACGGGTTCATTTGCTGCTCCTCAAATTTTATCAACACCAAACTGATGAACATGTTAACGTTCCCCATCTTATATAATAAACTGTCTACTTTTTGAAGAAATACCAACATTAATAGTTTAAAAGTCCTCTTCCGAAAATGGACCAACATTGCTACTTTGAACGTCCTCTTTCGAACTTCGAAGATGGAGGAACATCGGTAAGTTCAACACCCTCACCCTCTATAGAAATTATTTTGTTAATATGCTTCTTCACAAAAAAATACTCCAATTATTTAAACATCAAAAACCTTTCTCACAGAATCTTCAGATCCTCCGGAAATACCGTTTAAAATTTTTCTCTCAATTCTTTCGGTTCTAGGTACATGACATCAAACACGAACGATCCACAAAATCAACCAACAATAGATCCATACGCTGCTTTAGGTATGGCAACAAATAATAGCGTTGGAAATAATACATTTGAACCGTTAAAAGGGAAAGGGGAATACAAAAGGGAAAGGGAAATACGAAAGGGAAAGGGGAATACGAAAGGGAAAGGGAATTCGAAAGGGAAAGGGGAATACGAAAGGGAAAGGGGAATTCGAAAGGGAAAGGGGAATACGAAAGGGAAAGGGAATACGAAAGGGAAAGGGGAATACGAAAGGGAAAGGGGAATACGAAAGGTTCCGGGTTTTGGGGTATTCCTCACAATGCAAATCTAGTCATTCTCTTTTATGAAACTCGGCGTTATTCTTTTTCTTCAAAATCGGGGAAGGAATTGTCTCTTACGTTTTAACAATACCCCATTCTCCCCTCGACTTGCCATTCCAGAGTTCCAGACGTCCAAGAACCGTTCCTAAAGTAAAAAACGAAAAGGAACGTTAGTAATCGTTCCAAAAATAAAAAAATAACCACGAACTCTCATATTTACAGCACTCCGGTGTTTAGTNAAAAAAGTTGATCCGTTTTTTTATATTCCATCCTTTTTCCGTAGAAGGCTCATATTTCCGGAATTAATAACCTTATATCATGGAATTTATCGAATTGTTTTCATTTTCCGTGAATGGATCCGTGAAAGGATTATTTTTACGGAGTTTTTACATAAAATTTTTTATAGGAATTCGGTTGTTTTAAATAAAAAATAGATTATCAACCGATCGGTAAATTGATTCGGCAAGTCATATGACTGATACCGATCTTTATGAATACTACGTAATTTGGTTATTGAAAATTTTTATTTTATAAATTTTTTTAATAAATAATTTAATATATTTCATATAAATTACATAAATTAAAAAAAAAAAAAAAAAGCTTGCAAGCCGGCTTGAATAAGCCACGGCTTGGCTTGGCTTGAAATAAGCCGGCTTGATGGCTTATAAGTGAGATTCAAGCCGGCTTGGCTTATGGGGAGCTTTAATACCACCTACCTGTTCTACTTCTTTTAGTATTTTACCTTCTTATTCAAACCAGAATATCAATTATTTATTAAAAGATTTCTTGGTTGCTTATAAAAATAATGTGACAAAAAATTGGATGAGATAAATAAAAACCTCAAAGTAGTATTTTCCCATTATATATACTGTATATTCAAACAAATTTAATAAATAAGAGATTTGTAATTTATGGGTAATAGATTTACTACAGCAGAAATAGATTTCTATATATAGGAATTTCCATTATAACTATAAACTATTTCAGATTATAAATCCAAAAAAAATTTAGAAAACTTAATGAAAATAATAAAAAGGAAGACAAATAATAATTTTTTTTAACCTATATAAGAAAGTTTCAAAATTAAAACCTATCTATATTAAAATAAAAAATAAAATACTAAATTTTTCCTGTTTTTTAATAAAAGCTTCTTTTCTGATTTCTATGATTAAAGCTCTAAACAGTTCCGGTTCTATCCGAAAACTAAACCAGAACTGAACCAAAAATCCATTTTAGTTCTAAAAAATTTAGTTCAGTTCTGGTTCTGGTTCGGTTTATTTAATAATCCGACTCGGGAACTGAACCGGAAACTGGTAGAACTGATGAAAAAATTTTTTTTTTTTTTAAAAAAAAAAAAAAAAAAAATTATATTCTCTACTCTTTCCCTTTGGTAGACAGAAAGCTAAAAGAAAGGCTTTTTTTTTACTTCCTTTTACCAATTCCGTCCTTCCTAGGTAGCCGACACAAAACTACGACTTTTCCTAAGTATTCAAGGACACAAGAGAAGTTCTCACCACCAGAGACTGGCTGATTGTAATTAGTGCAATTAAGGTTCAGTTGTTTTTCACTTTATGTTTTGTTTCTTACTAAAAGTCATATTTTTATTCACATTTTTATTTTCACGCGAACAGTTATTAACTACAATTAACTCATAACTTCATCACCAGAGATTGATATGAAGCTTTGGTTGATTCTTGAAGCACGGTAGGCTTAAATATTTTTTTTTGTTTTATTTCTTGTTCTTCTTTACTAATGTACGTTCTTTTCTCTTTTAAGTCTCAGTTTCTTTGCAGTTCTTCACAGAAATATAGTTGTTTTGAACAGAACCTAAGCGAAGAAGATTTTTTGAGCAAGTGTAAAGAATCGAAGAGTGTGTCTTTAAGTTTTAGTTCTTTAGTTCTCTATGCATAAAAAGGTAGGCTTTAACACTTTTTTTGTTTTATTGCTTATTTCCTTGCTAATATACGTTCTTTTCTTCTTTTTAGGTCTCAGTCTTTGCGGTTCTTCACAGTAATATCAGAAACTTACTGAAAATCTAAAAAAAAAAGAAGAGAAAACAAAATCAGCAAAGATAGCGAAAAGGAAACCAAAAAAGAATCAAAAAGTAAAAAAACCTGCCTTTTCATAAGAACTGAAACCTGAAAGAAAGGAACGTACAAAATTAGACGAGAAAGAAATTTTTTTTTTATTATTATTTAAGACCAGTGTTTCTCTTTTTCATTCTTCCTTTAGGTTCTTAGTTCCTTGCGGCTCTTCTAAGGTTGCTTGCCGAAACCTAGGAGTTTAGGCAAGATGGCGTTTTGCCAAAAAGCGAAATTCTGCCAAAACTATATTGAAGTTATATTAAAAAACTGGCGAAACTTTGGAGAAAAGTGAAACTACTGAAATTTATTATAAATGCCGAAACTGCTAAAACTCTGCTAAAACTATAATAAATCTATAGTAAAATTTTGACAAAACTAATCGTAGAATTTTGAAGAGGTTTAGACAAGCAATCTTAGGCTCTTCGTAAAAGGCAAGTGTTGTATATAATGCTCTAAAAAAAATCTGATCTGATATGAATCCGCAGATTTGATTCGAGCCAAATCCAGTTCGGTTTTCAAAATTCTGATCTGTAGATCAGATCAAATTTAAAAAAATCTGATTCGATCAATTTTGGATCGGATTAGATCATAACATAAGAAAATCTGATCCGATCTGAACAGATTCAGATCAAATTTTTTTTTAAATAAAAAAAAAAAATTTTTTTTAAAAAACCTTTTTCTGAACGAATGGACGAAGCTGGACGACCAAGATTTAAAAGAACGAACTAGGTAAGTTCATTTCTTTTTTTTATTATTTTTACTTGAGGGAACGTAATTAACGGTTTCCTTCTTTTTTAGTAGGAAACCTGGACGAATGAAGCCTAACGACACGATCAGGATTTAAAAAAAATGAATGAACTATGGTAAGTTCATTCCTTTTTTTTAAGTTTTTTTTATTTTTTATTTAAGGGAACGTAATTAACGTTCCCTTTCTTTTTTTTTAGGAAACCTGGACTAAAGATGTTAGCTTTAATTATTTTTTAAAAAATTTTGAATTACGGCTATAAGATTTTTATAGCCTTAATTAATTACGGCATATAAAAATTTTGTATTACGACACTTTTTTGAATTATGGCTAACATCTTTAACCTGGACGTGAGACAAAGGAACGAACAGAATTTAAAAGAACGAACTATGGTAAATTTGTTTCTTTTATTTTATTTATTTTTTTTTACTTAAAAGAACGTAATTAACGTTCCCTTTCTTTTTTTTTAGGAAACCTGGACGTAAAACGAAGCTAAATGACCAGGATTTAAAAAAAAGAATGAACTATAGTAAATTCGTTTTTTTTTTTTGTTTTTTTTTT